AAAACTTGCTTAAAAATTGTACCATCATTAAAACCCAACATACAAACACAGATAATGTTCTTACCTTAACATAAGAGGTCAATTTACTTTAATTTTTAAAAACCAACRGAGCTAAATTTGATCTGCTTAGCATAAATTTGGTATGTTGCACACTTATAAGTTATAAGATGGAGACAACACATGCGGGTATGGTGTCGCCATATTTAAATCAATTAAAATGTAAAAACAAAATATATTTATAGATGAACTACTACGGACAGTTGCTAATGGTACAAAAATGTTACCTAATGGAAAACCCACAGGAGAAGTAAACCTTGAAATTGCTGAAGTGAAACTTATTCGTGGAAATTGTTTTAGGTAAGATGCACATGATACACATTTATTAGTTATATTAAGAATTGTTTTTAATTTTTATATTAATGTTTTTGATACTTATTTTTTATCAATAATTATTTTAAAACATAATATTAATGTATTACGTTGTATTAATATTGATTGTAAKCATTTATATTGTATTGTGATAAAAGTCATAATAATTCTTGGAAATTTTGTTTAACATTTGATCATAAAAAAGCGCAATTATTGTTATGGCTTCATGTGATAATATATGTATTTATTAAAGTGACAATTAAAATTATAAAATTTTACCTTTATAGGCTGGTTGAAGAAAGTATGTTGGATGAAGAAACTGATCAAATGACAAACGAATTAAGATTATATTATAATCTCGATAATTCTAAATTATTGCATGGTAACGAGTGTCAATTTGTTGTTATACCAGATGAAATGGGATTATTTGTAAAGAAACTATTTAATGTGTATCCATCATATATTAAAGTATCTGACTTATGCGATGACAACGAACAGGTTAATATTAAGTTGCAAATAAAAATCATATAAATGAGTGAATGTTTTTTGTTTGTCTTCACATTATTAGTTATATTTATATAATTCTTACAAAATTAAATATGTTGTTTTATTTAGCTTAACTATTAATGCAAATATATGCTATTTTCTAATTAAAAACAAAAAATTTAAAGATTTAATTTTAACAATAATGTTATCTAGGGTTAAGTAGGATACAAACAAAAAGTATCTTGAATCTCGATTCATTAAGATTTAATATATGATATGGAGTTCTTAAAAAAACCTTAAATATTTAATATAATACTGTTATAGAGCTTAAATTTACTATTAAATCAGTTTAAAATAAAATTTGAACTCAATTATATTCTATTGCAATTTACAGTTTTTAATCTAAATAACTACATTTTATCAACTACATTAAAAAAAAAAAAAATATTGGCATATTAAGCTTGAACAATTGATAATGGATATGCAATATAGTTCGGCCAAATTGCATTATTTGTGTTGTAATTTTGATTTTTATTATTGTCATACAATAAAAATATATTGATTTATTAAAAATATCCCCTTTATATTCCATACAACATTGTTATTTGTGACTATATGTACTATATTATATTGAATTATAATGCAACATATTTGAATGTGTTGTTGTCTTATTTGTTATATCATCAATAGTAATTATTGAAATAATTCTGTTTTAAAATAATATTTGGAATAATTTAACTTTTAATATGACTTTGAGACATTTTATTTTTTGAYGTAATGATGTTTATTTATTACGTTTTAATTTTTACTGATCCAAATTAAGTACAGATTAAACTGAGTTGTATAACTCAGATTTTTTATTTTTAAAATGTATCATTAACATTTTATATACAAGGATAAACATTAAACAATGTTTATCCTTAGGTTAAATATTTTTATTTGTAAGCCAAGACAATAACCTAATTACAATTTTTGTTTAGAGTTTGACCAAACTATTTTGTATATAATTTGTATACTCTTTAAGAATTACTCAATATTAATCAGTAATAAATAATAGATATTTGGATAGTTAACAACAATAGTCTCTTGTCAGTACTTAGGTTTTTAAGTTATTTATACT